ACTTCAAAGATGGAATGAATTCAGTGAGAACTCCAAAGTCAGAAGTGAGATCAGCACTGGCCAAGATGAACATAAGGTAGCAGGACCAGATAAGATTGTAAGATAGATGCCAGCAGCCTTAGACAATTTCAGCATTGACAAGATTATAGGAATAATAAATATGTAATAATGGTGTCATATTGGAAGACCTTAGTAGATCCATTTCCATAGGGCTGCCTAAGAAGCCAGATGCAAATGAACGTAAGCTTCATAAGAGAATCAGCCTAATGATCTACATAATGAAACTTATCTGGATTCTGATGAATAGAATATGTAATAGAATTAGACCAGAAATAGAACAATAATGTGTTTTTGTTAAAAACACTGGAACAAGGAAAGTAATATTTATGCACAGAATGAGACAGAGTAATACAAATGCAAAATAGATTATGCAAATGTGTTTGATAAATATGATACAAAGAACTGTTTGAACTGCTAGGAAAGCTTGACTTAGACATTAGAATAATCCAATACTGGGAGCAAACCACTTGCATGCAGATAGAAAATAAATTGAAACAAACTGAAGTAACTCTTAGAAAAGGTAATAAAGGAAAGTGAGAAGAAAGGACTAAACATTAATTGTAAGAAGACAGAATGTATGGTTATTAGCAAGAGGAACATATAAACTAGGAATTGGAGGCACTAAAATCAAGCAAGTACAAAAATTTAAGTGTTTTTAACAGAAGAGGGAAAATGTGACATCAAAATTTGAAAATGCAAAGGATTAAGAAACAAGAAAATTTAGTGAGAAACAAAGAAAAGAATGTTGAACTATGTTGTAATATCAGTACTCCTATATGACAGGGAATAATATTCAATCTCCTCACAGATGAAGAGACTTGAGACAACACAATTGTGACTCTACAGAAGGATGCTGAAACTATCAAGGAAGTTTTAAGGAAAATGGAAACAAAAAAGACTTATGCTTAGAATCAGAAAGAAACATTTGAAATTTCTAGGGTAAATGGATGACAAAACAGGGAGTACGAGAGAAAACAAAAAGACAAACCAAAGTGACAAAAGCTAGGAAAGCCATGACTGCCCACATTCTGAAGAAACAACACATAGAAGAAACTTGATACCCATCTGAAAATCAGTTTGCAGTTTTTTGTAGTCACTGTACATTTGTATTGGTTGACAAGAGACGTGTGACATTGTTAACAGCAGCAGAAACAAACATGATTATTGATTGACATATACTATGGAGATACTTCAGTTGAAAGCAGTATGTATTGGCAAATATTTTGGAAAATTCATGAAAGGTTATGAATTTTGTGGCATGTAAGCCATTGCTGATTTTTTTATTATTCAGAACTAAATATGTCTTATAAAGACAAAAAACATTAATAATATTAAGCTTTCTATATTACCATCAAGTACACTGATGAAATATTTTAATGTTGAATTAAAAAAAAATTAATTTTAAAACTTCAAAAACAAGTAGAATTATTAGCAAGTGAAAAAAAACATTTCAAATAACTCATGCTATATTAATATAGTAAATGGTACTTTAACAGTATCACGTGAAAAACAAATATAAAAATAATAGTAGTTAAGTGACTGAAGAAAATGGGCAAACCTCTTTAGGGACATGTTTTGTTACAAGAAAGGACTTCTTCAACTAAGATTGATTTTATTGATGAAATCAGTTTTATATGAGAGTGGGCTGAAAAGTTCATAGGATGACTATGAAAGAGTAAGCTGCGAAAATCTTGCAGCATTAATTTCAACTTTTCTTATTAATAACTGTATTGTTTCTTTCAAGGTTAACTGAGAGTCTTGATAATGACCCAGGGTCTGCAACTGCCACCACCGAGGAAAACATTGTTCACCATTTGGTGATAGATGACAGGCAACTGACTATAAATCAAATAGCCAATGCTATTAAAATATCTCATGAGAGAGTTGAGAATATTCTGCACGATGAGCTTGACATAACAAATGTTTCTGCTCGGTGGGTTCCAGGTCTTCTGACACTTGATAACTGAGCACATCACAGGGAAATCTGACATTCTTTGCGGTAGATTTATCTGGTTTCCTCGAACATTTCTTAATCCAGGATGAGTGTTGGGTTCATCACTTTGAGCTAGAGACAAAAAGACAATCCATGCAGTGGAAACATCTGTCATTTACTCCAAAGAAGGCCAAGGTCAATTATCTGCAGGGAAGGTGATGGCCTCAGATTTTGGGACATAAAAGGCATTTACTGACTATCTTCAAAAGAGCCACATCATCAATGGAGAGTACTAGTCTTGATAGCCTTTTATAACTGCTTCAGCAATTATGAATGGCTATCAAGACCAAACAGCCAGGAAAACTGATGAAAGGAATCTTGTTTCATCAGGATAATGCTCCAGCACACAAGTCCTTGATTTCAATAGCTGTTGTGCATGACTGGCCTTGGACTAGTTGATCATCCTCCCTATTCTTCTGATTTGACTATCATCCCTAACATGAAAAAAACATTTGGCTGGGAACCACTATCATAGTTATGATTATGCCACATCTGCTGTTGATAAATTTTCTTGACCAACAGTCTGAACAGTCAAATGTCAGTTTACTTGGAACAAAACAATGTCGTTATTAACTCTAGAATACTAACCATGGGTATAATATACCCAGCACAAATTTTCCTATTTTAATTACAATTTTCAGTACCTGATTTTCTTACCTAAATAATGTTTTTCAGTTCCTATTAATGTTAACTCAAAGTACAAAGTTTGAAGTGCCTGCATGTAAAATATTTCAAATAAAGATTTATATTTAATATTTTTTTGTTGATATTTTCAAAATTGGGTATGATATACCCACGGTTAGTAGTTGTGTAACTTTAATTGATGGTTAGTGTTCTAGGGTTAATAAGAGTTGAAATTAGTGCATGTAAAATTTTACAGCTCTAGTCTCACTATATATGTAAAAATTAGGGACAGAAATATGACAAACACTGGTTACAGTTCACATCAAAATGTTAAAAGATGTAGAGGTGCTCAGCTTTAATTTAAATTTCGACACCAATGCATCTGTGTTTAACTTGGGCCCATCTCATTTAGATTTTTTTTTTTTATTGCTTTTGCTTTCATTGTTATTGTTTTTAATTACCACACATTTTATTGATTGATTTTAAGGATTGATTGATTTCATTTTATGTGAGAGGAAAAGAGATATATTGATGTAAATTTAATGCAGAAGATTCCAAAGTTAGTGCATTTTGGATATTTTTTGTCTTAATAAATCACTTTCTCTTTCATAATATGTTGTGATGGATGACTCCACCATTGAGTTGATTTGTTTGCCTTGCTTTTCTGCATTTGTAAACCAAACGAGTTTGCATATGTGTTTTTTGTTACATAGGAACTCACTTCATCCAAGACATGTTCTGATTTTGAAACTTACTTGGCCTGCAACTTCAATGGAAAAGTTACTTTGTCGTTGACTTCTGATGTAAATATATGAGCCACCATTATTTCTTTTCTTTATTTTTCAACTGAAACTACCAGTGACTGGTAGATTGCTGTTAGGATAACCTGTTGGCATTTAAACTTAAGAATTTCCTATGAAGCCTTTTAAAAGATGCACTATCAGGCAATTAAGTTGCAATCTCCCACATCCAATACTTTCAAGGAAATCAAGACTGGATTCCTGATCCAACACATTCAGCAGCAACTCCACATTACCACAATTTATATTTTTGCTTCAGGTTTAATGTTGTCTTGTATTGATTAAATTTCTTATTGTTTTTGTAATAGTTGTGACAATTTTTATATCAAGTTTAGATAAATTCTTTTTAGTTATAGTTTTTATTGAATTGATAAATAGTAGTATGTGTCTTGTTTTATCAAGGTTTTGTCTTCTTTGTTTTTATAAATTGTTAGTTCCCCATTTTGCTTTACATATAAAATAATTAGGGTATTGGAGGAGTTTAAAAGTACTTTCATTATATTTTTCTTTGTGTAAATATTAGTGGCTATAACTTAAGTGCTTTTAAACTGAAACCTAGGGATTTTTGTATGAAGTAAAATTGAAGCATTGCACTGTATTTCACCAACTGCATTTTCTTTCTGCTTGGCACCCAAAAATATCTTTGTGGAAGATTGTCACTAGAGATGAAAAGTGGGTAATCCAAAGTGTCAAAAATCATGAATGGACTGCAGACAGCCTGCAGTATCAAAAGTAAAACCTAACCTTTTTGGAGAAAAGTTATCATTTTGTACTTGATAAAATAGGAAAGGTATACTGTACTACAAATTGTTGAAGTCTGATGAAACTGTTACTACAGGAACTTTTCATCAGATCTTGCATTTATCCCACTGGAATTATGAGGGTGTTGCCATTAGAAAATATTTCTAGGAAAGAAGAAAAAAAAATGTAAAAATTATGTAATTATTAGTTGTTTCTTATTAGATGGAAAAAAATCCTGAATTTTATAAGAAAGATTATATAATAATTTATGTAAGAATTTTTTAAATGAAAAATTATTATAACCTACAACTTGAATAAAGGGTGTGGTTCAAAATGTTCACATTGTTACTGAGTACAACAGATACATGATGATAGCTGGAGAGTACAATGACCAAAACATTGTGAATATAACAAAGCTACTGATACAGAACAAGTAGCTGTAAACAAAAAAAAAAATCCTTTCCTGTTAGTGAAACTATTCTTTTCTTCCTTTTCTGACATCACTTCAACTACCCTCAATATACATCTCAATTGTGAACAACTCAGAAAAATGAATAAAGAGCACTGGTTGTGTTTTCTTCTTCCCATTTAATTTTCCTGACTACTACCCATAATTCCTTCGTTCACACACCACTGTATACCACCCAAGCCTCATAACTATTTTTTCCTCACATCCCAACCAGTACTACAAATGCAGGTTAATTATTGGTATTATCAATTCATTTAAACTTACAATTCTGAATGCAGCAGCACTTTTTAATAAACACTAAGTGATAACTTACCTTCCAAAATCACATAATTTAAGAATGCCAGTTTCTGGGTCAAGTAAAAGATTCTGTGGTTTTATGTCCCTGTGGCATACTCCTTGGGAATGGATGTATGCTAAACTCCGGAATAATTGATACATGTAAAGCTAAAATGATAAACAGAAATTTTAATTCATAAATATTACAATGAAAATACAGCAAAAAATACTAATAAAATGTTCATATAATACCAAGAAATGTCCAAACTGAAAATTATTCACCATGATAGAATATAATTTCAATGAAACCAAAAATATTTCAAATATCTTGAAAACTCATTTCATACAAATGAAGACATAACTTTTGTCTGACATGTGCATTTAGCAGATATTTTTAGGTAGTGAATAAAAAGAAAGAAAGACTGTTGCTAAGTTAAAATTAAATCCTATTGCATATTAACTATTTTACACAACCCTGTGGTGAGTGAATTTATAATCAGTGGAAATTTTGCAAAGTTCTCATTACATTAAAGAAATCATGATGGACTTGATTCCTAACTGGAGGAAAGCTACTTTGGGCAACAAAGAAGGATACGACATTTGCTGGTTTCTGTAATGTTACTAAAGGCACATACCCATGAAAAATTTCTTCCTTATTTATCAATTCATGAGATCACAGATTTGAATTATGTATATACTGAATCATGCCTTCTTTTAAAATCATCATCATTATGAATTCTTGGATTACTTTAAATAACTGGCTGGTTGATTTTACAATGTAACACCCTTGTTTTTTTTTTTGTTTTTTTTAAATCATTTCACCCAAGCAAAGCCACTAAAACACAAGGGGTTACTAAGTGTGAAAGATTGAGAAAAAGAAAAACATTATTAAAGCGAGAGAACAATAAAAGAACAAGAAGACAAAAGATAATGACTGACAGGAACTACAGAAGAGGATTTCCAACAAGGAAAACAAGAAGCAGCAAATCATTTATAGTAGAGTTTAGAGAGAACAGCAACCAGTTCAGGACCACATTTCTTAAGGACTATAGCAGGGATACCATGAAATCAACATGCTTTGTGGGGATCCAGTTTAGAGATGATAGCAGAAACCATGGACAGGGTTCTATGCATATCAATCAATAGAGACTCAGTTCTAAGTGAAAATCCATACAAGGGCATTTCAGATGAATCAAGAGTAGAATTGAAAGAGAATTTACAAGCAAAACATTTTGCTTTATCAGCAGATGTTAACACCTCAGATTGAGTAAAGAGGAGAGATAGAAGACTGACTCTTATTTAACACACTATTACAGAGCCTTTAGGTATTTAATGCCAAAGTCAGTCATTTTTTTTACCTTTTTAACCCAGAACTAAATATATACCATATAGGAGAAAAACCATGATGAATTAATAATTTTAATGTTGGACTTTCTATATCAATTCCCTTCATGAATATGTTCACAGATTTTTTTTGTTTTTGTAAATTTTTGTTAATTATACACTGTTTGGAAAAAACAAATGGCAACAGATATTCAGACAAGAAAAGTGTTCCAACTGTGTTTATGAGTTCAAGTGGTATAGCCAGAGAAATGGCACTAGTAATGAACCCTGATAAATAGGGAGGAAGGAATGAAATTGTTGTATGAAAAGCTGAACTCTCTATACATGTACTACTCCCAGGGTTATTGTGACTCATAATACATCATGAATGAAAGAGTAGAGGCTGGAAAATTGTTCCTCATGATGCTTTTTATTTTATTTTATTTTTTTTTTATGGCTGGCTTTTCTCCAAAATACTGGAATACTGCTATGTGAAGTTTATTCAAATATCCAAGATCAACAATTTTACCAGATTTGTGCACTGATGTGATATTGGGAAGTCTTAAAAAAAAAAAAAAAATGAAAAAAATGGCAACAGAAAGAACATACTTAGAATCAGGAAAACTCCGCTGAAATTTCTTGGACACAACATGGAGGGCTTGGAAAACTTAATCCTCATAGAACATATAAAGTGCAAGAGAGTTAGGAGAAGGCAGCAATCCACTTAGCCGAGAAGCTTGGGACATGGAAATCATAGAAAAAGAACATCTCAAAGAAATATGTGTACATAGATAATATTAACATGGTAGTAACCTTGGTTGATTCCTGCAGGTAGATAATATACAACCTAATCTTGAATTAAAAAAAAAAAAAAAAAAAAGCTCCTATAAACTACTTTTAATCACTTGGGTATTCTATACACCAACAAGAACATTTATCATGATCATAGATCACATGGTATTAATCATTAGTCAAATCAAGAAACCATCGCTTCTGTTAATTCAAGCTACTGACTAGAAGTTATGCATGATGTACTCCTTAATTCATATAATGAACCAGAAGATAGGACAGCAGTGGTAGTGGTGTTGAAATCATATTTTCACAATTAAATCCAACAAAAATGTCAAGGAACAATTTAAGCACTAAGTGAAAAAATTTCCTCTGTAGTATGTCTTATATCCATTACATCTGAGCATGATAGTATTGTTTGTTCACCTGATGATAAATTGCAAACTGTCAACCTAAAAATTTTGCAATTGATGGCAAAAATGTTAAAAAGCTAATACGTAAACTAAAATGATGCTACATGATCAGAAACAACAAAGCAAACCAAACTGGAGTTCCATGTTGTAATCCTATTAAATAAATGAAGCTTCAAAAAATCACTTGTTGACTTGTGTCTTAGTAAACATTTTAAAGATGAAAGCATAGCTATTATTTGGACTGATGATGCTGTAACAAGCCATAGTTACTCACTGATGCAAAGAAATGCTTAGTTCAAAATGTACAACTTAGAAGAAATTGTAGTTTCATATAATACAGTTCTTATTCATATACAAACTGTATCATATGAAACTATAACTAGAATGAACTAGTTCAGATATGTAAAATAGGTCGATAACTAAATTTAGTATACAATATTGTAAACTCAAACACGCACTTTATAAAATAGATATAAATAAAAAAAGAAGGACTACTGAATTGGTTGAGGAGAAATTGTACAGAGAAATAGATGAAATTTTAGTCTATATTATGATGGCCACTGAACCAGATCTGAGTTATCACAACACAAAGCCTGCTGTTGCCCATTTGAGGAACACGTCTTATATTATCTGAAGTGTATGAAGTATCAAATTCTAATTTTCAAACAGTTAAATTCAGGAGTTTGATTTTTTTTTCATACAGATTGTTGTAGTATTGCCAGTTCCAATTTTCAAAGGTTACCAAATAGCTCAATGATATGTTAGAAAAGTAGAAAACAGCAAACTTATTATATGCCTTTTAATTTGGACTACTAATAATGAGAAAAAGTCTAGAATAGAGGCCAGGCACACATGCAGAAAATGAAAACAAAAAAATTCTTGCAGCTTGGCTGGGATGTGTTACCCCACTGACCATATTCACCAGACATTGCTCTTTCAGATTTTCACTTATTCAAGTTCATTGCAAAATAATCTCAATGGTAAAAATTTTAATTTTTTGGATGACATAAAAAAAACAAGAAACTAGTAAAATTCTGGTAAGATGGAAGGTAAGTTGAAGGAAAAATGGAGAAAGGCTGTGCAGCAAAATTGTTCATATTTAGTTGAATAAATATTTAAGGGCATAATTTTGTTTTGTGTTTTAATTTCCCTTAAAAATCGGCATGAACTTTCTGGACAACCCAATGCTTTAATATTGTTTAGAAAAAAGAAGTGCTAAAAGATTTTTTATTACAGTCAAAAAGGATAAAATTCTTATCACTATTTTATTTGTTTACAAAATAAAAAAAAAACTGATACTTTTAATGGGAAATAGACTGAATCTGGCTAGTGAACAGTGTGTGTGTGTGCATGCATGCATACATACAGTAGATACAAAAAGTATCCAATTCATTGCTTAAAGATTATTTTAACATTTTCTCTCTATAAGCTATGTCCTTTCGTCTTTTGTCTTAATATTTGCTTCCATGACCCTTCATTGTCTTTGTGATATTTTTTCTTTTATTGACTTGTTCAGGTTTGTCAAGTTTATGAGTCTTGTGAGTATCAAGCCATTTTAATGATAAAAAGGCTAAAAACTAAAAGCTCTATCTTACTGAATATTATCAACAGTTTCTTTATAATTCTGAAACCAACAGGAACTCTTTAGAGATTGGAAGATGTTATTGCTTATAAAGGTTACAATGACCAAACATTGAATTATTTTTTAGAATGTAAGAGGGACAAAAACAGAAAAAAAGGCAAACAATACTGAACCCTGGTAGGACTTCAAATTCTCTCAGAATGGCTTCACTGTATAGGTTGAATAAGTTTGGAGAGAAGATGCATCCTTGTCTTACACCCTTTTCTATTTATTTTATATTTATTGAATTCATTTTCTATCCCAAGGCAGGCATTTTGCTGACAGTATAGGTTCTGGATTATTCTAATATCCTCCCCAAATATATTGAGGTTACCTAGCAGTTCCAACAGTTCTTTGTGTCATACTTTATCAAACATTTTCATATATTATCTATAAAACATGGTACACATCCTTCTACATCTGTATTGCTATTTCTGATATCATTCTGAGCATAAATATTGCATTCCTTGTTCCAGTGTCCTTAATGAATCAGCACTGTCCTTGTCCTATTTTCAGTCTAATTCGGCTGTGCCCTATTCATCAGGATTTGGATAAATTTTGTTATGTGGATGATTTTCCAATGGAGTTCATATCCAGTCCTGTTGCTTTGTTTCTGTTCAATTTGGCTAGTGTTGACTTCACTTCAGATTTTAGTATTTTTGTGTATTGTCTTCATTTTACCTCTGAAGTATTTTTTCTTTCTCTAATATCAAGTGTCCCATCTTTGGATTTTATGCATCCTGTTGATGAGCATGTATTTTGTCTTTAAAAAAAAAAAAAGGATGCAGGAATCAATAGTGTTTTGAATAGACTGAGAGAGTTACCCAAAAGTCAAATGCTAGGAACCTCCCACTCTTCATATGCATGAGAGCTTAAGCTTGTGATATGAAATGGGAATGATTGGATGTTCTAACTGGAATAGTTGTTTTAGCAGCAAAACAAAAAAGAAAAAAAAAAAGTGTTTTAAAAACGTTTGTTTTTTGATCACAATGGCAATGTGTGGATCTTTTATGCCAATAGAA